AGGACGACCTAGGAGCCAAGGCCGAACAGAGCACACACTCGCTGCCAGGCGGGCACCCTGGCTCATCCTGCCATCAGCTGGGGCAGGCAGCCAGCCTCCCCACTCCACCAGGAGGGCCTGGAGAAGGTGAGCAAGGCTGGAACAGAACCAGCCCTGGGTCCTGGCTCCAAGGCAGCGGGATGCCAGGCCAGGAAAGCGCCCCACTCAGAGAGAACCCAGACTTGCACCCTCCCAACTGGGGACGAGCGGACAGACGTACGTGGCTGTATGGGCAGACGTCACTGGTCATTACAACACTGGAAGTGCCTCTGTTTAAAAGTAAACGTGTGAGACAGACTGTTAAAGTGCCAACGGCTACAGAAATCGTTCCATTACCTTCTCTCCAGGTTTGGGTGATTGCTGCAACTTCTCATAATCTTTCTTAGTCTCCAAAATTTTTTTCACAAGTCCACCTGTTGAAAATCAGTGATTTTAGGTTAAAGATATTCTCTGTTCCAAGAAGCTATTTCCAAATGAGTGGGAGGGTGGGAAAAATACTAAATTCTATACTAAAAAGTTTCAAATAATCTATTTGATGAAGCTAGTCTACAAGAGAATGGTACAGCAGCTGGTATTGGAAATCAACTATAAAACTTTAAAGTCTAAGAAATCAGCTCATAGAAAGGGGAAAAGCTTTGGAAATTAAATAGATTTTCTTTTCTACTTCCAGAGTCAAGAAGTATTAGATTAACACCACAAAACATGACCATCTATTACAAACATAGAATTCCAAATTATTTCTAAGTACTGATACTTTTATATATATAAATGGGCAAAAATACTACATTTCTTTTTTTTTTTTATTGTTGGTCGTTCAAAACATCACATCTTTCTTGATAAACATTTCTTTTAGAATTACAGATGGGATATATATCATACAAAAAATCATTTTCTTGAAAATATTATTCTACCTGACACACATCATTATGGCACTGACTGAATACATCACACACACCTACATGGTGAAGACCACAAAGCTCCAAAGGGGGTTGAGGAAGGGATGCCAGCATAGACTCAGTTTAAACTATAGAAGCATGGAGGTGGGGACAGGTACTCTCTCTCTCTCTCTCTCTCTCTCTCTCACACACACACACACACACACACACACACACACACACACACTTCTCCTTTTTTGAAAATGGAAGGATCCAGCTGGGTGTGGTGGCTCATTCCTGTAATCCCAGTGGCTTGGGAGGGGGAGACAGGAGGATCATGAGTTCAAAGCCAGCCTCAGCAGCGAGGCCCTAAGCAACTCAGGAAGACCCTGCCTTTAAATAAAATACAAAAAAGGGCCGGGGATGTGGTTCAGTGGTTAAGGGCCCCTGGGTTCAATCTCCAGGACCAAAACAAAAAAAGAAAAGGAAAGAAGATGAAAGGATCCAGATTACAGGCCACGTGGCTGGGCGCTACAGTGTGTTTTAAAGCAAGACATGCAAAACAACAAACACCTCCCGCCAGGGGTGGACCAAGCAGCTGGGATCTGCCTGCAGTCCCAGAGCCAGGGGGAGGGACACCGCCAAGGTAAGGGCCCAGGCCATGCCTGACCACTGGTGACCTCAACACTCAAGCCCGCAAGCAGGTTAGCACCCTGGCAG